CGTCAACACTCACCACGGTATCAAAGCGAGCATGAAATAAAGTGGTATATAGAAATCTAGAGTGTATTTTATAATGTCAGGTTGAATTTGTAAGACCTGAAAGCCCACCACGAAATTGCCATCGACACAGGTGTACTGCTTCAATCGCTATGACTATTACATACACTCCATGCCTTTCGTCACTACAGTCATTTTTCTCGTTTCAATTTCTATTACCCAATTGTCTCACGTTATCTAAAAACGTCAACACTCACCACAGTATCGAAGCGAGCACACAGGCGTTTTTTGCAACTCGTAAACGTAAAAGACGCCGCAGTTCTTGACTTTAATGTTGTTTTTCCACCGACAGCAATTGTTTGACCAATGATAACAAACTTCCCGAGTCACTTGACCGTCTGCCACAGAAGGATGTTTTCCTTTGATCCATCCTGGGGCATGAGTACCACAACGACGCACAGGTGGGCATGTAGTGGGCATCTGTGGATTACCAGCAACACCAGTAAAACGATACCATCCAGGGGTGATATCTCTCTGATCACATCGGACTGGGCTTTGTCCAGTGTAAGATTCGAGGCGGTCGGCTGCATTGAGGCTCTTGTAGTTGCTGCATGGGTCATTAGATGCAACTGTTGAAATAGTAGATGTTAACGAAACCTAAAAACACTTTCACTGTGCAGAATTCCATACTGCAGCCTATTAGTTAAGAAATGTCAAGGAAAAAATCATCTTAGATAAAAAAAAAATTGTTGAAATGAAAGAATAGATAGAAAGCTAGAGTGTTTTCTTTTCGTCAGTCTGAGTTTGTAAGACCTCAAAGCCTACCAGGAAGCTGCCATCAATACGGTTGTACTATTTCAATTGGTAAGACTATTACATGCACTCCATATCTTTCGTAACTACAGTGATTTGTCTCTTTTCAATGTCTATTGCCTAATTATCTCACGTTATCTAAGAACGTCAACACTCACCACAGTATCGAAGCGAGCATGCAGGCGTTTTTTGCAGCTCATACACGTAAAAGGCACCACAGTTCTTGACTTTGATGTTGTTTTTCCACCGACAGCAATTGTTTGACCAATGATAACAAACTTCCCGAGTCACTTGACCGTCTGCCACAGAAGGATGTAGTCCTTTGATCCATCCTGGGGCATGAGTACCACAACGACGCACAGGTGGGCATGTAGTGGGCATCTTTGGGTTACCAGAAACACCAGTGAAGCGATACCATCCAGGGGTGATATCTCT